CGTGACCCGTGATGGACAGGTTAGGGTCTACTTTCATTGATTCGTGACCCATTTTAACCCAACCTGTTTTGACCCGTTACCCGTTCTGACCCGACCCAACCCGCTCGTTTGCCAGGTCTATTCACTTTCATTAATTAATTTTATAAATATTTGTAAAATGTTTCATTTATAAGTATTTGCTTCACTTTTTAAAGATGGCGAAACATAATCTACTAAAATTACTTGCGTCTAAATGGCATTAAAAATATTTAAACATACATTCTAAATAAGATATAAATTAATTCGTAAATATTTGATCCAAACTCAAAGAATAATCTTATATTTGGATTAAGAGAAATGAAGAGGAGAAAAAAAAAAGGGAAGGGGGGAGTTATATCCCTCAATTCCCCTCCCCTCTCTTCTTCTTATTGGAAAAAACACCTAAATTAAAAAAAAAAAAAATGAAGTGAGGAAAAAAATTTTCCTCCCTTGCCCTTTAATTTTTTTATAATTAAATAAATTTTTCTTTCTATTCTCCTCAACTTAAACATATCATAAAAGCAATATTAATACTTGACAAGTAAATTTTTTGATGTAATCAAAATAATACTATTAATTTCTTTTTTTAAAACAATTTTTATATTCCGAATCACATTATACTACTAAAAAATAAAATTAACCATAAAAAGGTAAGAAGCGCTGTGATATATGAGGGGGCTCTCCCCATTGGATGATTCTAGTTGGATTGCAAGAAAAATGATCTGAATGACACACACGGGACGGAGAGGAATGTTGCTCTTCGCAGGATGGGGTTGGAGGCATTTTCTCCCTCACAAAATTTCATGAGGTCCCACAAGAATCCCCGTCTCCACAAATATTACAAAAATATGTAAATCAAATTTATTTTAAATTTAATTTAATTTTCAAATCCAAATCCAATTCAATAAAAATTAAATTTAACCAAATTTTACTTAATCCAACCGATAAAAATTAACCCAATTAATCATCAACAAATTTGTTGATTTAATTATTTATGTTTAATTGATCTTTATTTTTTTAGATAATTTATATTTGATTTTATATTTAAAAAATTTTAGTTAATTATATTTGAAATTTTAAAATTTTATTAGTTA